CCATAATGGGCTGAAAAGAACAGGTCTCATTCCAACGATAGTATTCGAATGGGAAACTATATTTATATATAGGCCTATAGGTGGTTATATGAAGAGTTGTTGCATATCCACTCATTTAACAAGCATAACCTCCCAGATGAAATGCATCAGAATATGAGAGAAAAAAATCATTTGCATTGTATTAACCCGCTGTTGAAGGTTTCTTTCTCGCCATGCATTTGCTTACCTGCGAATCAATTCATCAAAAAGCGGCTGCCTCACAGCTCTGACTTCCTCTCCGTGCAGCTTCTAGAATAAATCCTTCACCCCTCTTTTTTTCCCCCTGTCTGCAGACGGTACTGTCCTAAACCTGATCTTGCTGTTTTTCCAACATTTCCATACACCGGTTGGAGACAGTATTCCCGAAAGAATGGAATAAAAAAAAAAGCGAACCAGGTATCCTTATTCCAAGGAAGAGGGGGGAAACAGAAAAAAAAAAAATCCACTGGCAATCAATCAACCAGTGAGATATCGAGGATAGGCCTGTGTAGATTGGGATTTTTTGGGGGGGCTTGTTTCTGAAGCTTTTATGATGACAAATAAAATGGCACTGCCTTTTAGAAACAAGCATATGTGTTCACGTGATTTGCCCTCTTCCTCATGCAGGGAGCTCCTACCTCACCGGTCCACTTTGATAAAGGGTGGCGTTTATGTGCTCGTCTGAGGTTTGTGATTGAGAAAATGTTCCTACTTCTCTGAATATCAAGGACTGCAACCCGCATGCCTCAATATTTAAAGGCAGGACTGTTTGCTGTTTTTTGTATCTATTATCAGTCCATATTATTGCATTTTGATAACAGCTATTCTATAATCTATGCAATAACCATGTATGATGATAAGGCAATTTTGCGTTGCAATGGGAGTATTTTCACAAAGGCTTTTAAGATTAGTACATTTTGCAAGGAATTTATAAATAAAAACGAAGAAGAGTGCTTTTGACGCATCACCCATGGAGAGTGGCATTTCTGCAGATCACTGGTGTGCCATTTGTATTTTACAATGATTTATGAAATAAATTACACGATAGGTTTTCTTGCAGCTGTTCCTGGATTGTATTCAAATAAAACACATTATCATCCTGCGTTTGTTATTTGTCTCTGTGTATGTGTGTCTATCTTCAACCCCTGCTTGCAGCACAAAGAGCCACTGGAGCATGCTCGGCTTCTCTTGCATTGTTTTCCGTATTAATCATCAAATAAAGGGAATGACGCCAAATAATAATAATAAAAAAAATGCATTGGAAAACTAAAATGGATTAGCAGAGATGCATCTCGCAACTGCAGGCTGGTTGGTTGAGCGGCGGGTTGTTCTCGCTGCAGAACAAGAAAAGAAGAAGGGGTTGCAGAGCTTGTACAGCGTCACCGGCATATGAACAGAGGGGTAATAAAAGTGAAAGATTTACAGTTTTCGGCCGGCCCCCCAAACAGTCTCCCTCGCACCTTTTCAGGAATTACTGGGAGTGATTTACAAGGAGGCAGAACTGTCAGGCGGTCCAAACCTCCAGCACTTCTGATGAACCCAATGCAAACAATGCCCTTCTAAGAATAAAAATATTAAGACATAAATGCCCGAAAATAAAAAAGATGCATGAGCAGCTATTCATCTTATGCTGCTACAATACACTATAAATCAACATCAATTTATAACTCACTCCTGAGTGTCATTTTAAAGTCCTAAAAAAATAACTTTACATCATTAAATGCTCGTTCAAGATATATTAAAGAATGCAAAATTAATAAATAAACGGACTATCACTACATATTATGATTACACCCCTAAATTCAGTCAATATAAACGCTTAAAAACAGTGAATCTTAAACAAATGTAATGATAAAAATAATAATAAAAAAAGAAGGAGGAAATAGGCTTGTAGACACCATAATCCGCAGCTTAAACATTTGCGCCCATGCAGGAGCGCACACAACAGAGAAGGGGGTGCAATACATCAAATATCATCGACATTTGATATCGTCATTTGCCAAGCTGAGGCAACATGAAAGATGCTGAAATATTTACCTACCCGAGCATCCATCGGTTCAGAGCCGCAGCTAACAGTCGCGCCGAGTATCGGATATTATTTTCTTTGGAGGGGGGATCTCTTCAGTTTTCAACTCTGATAGAGTCCTTGCGATTAATGACGACGCCGTGTTTCTAGGGGGACGTGCTGCATTAATTATTTAGACAATCACGTGGTTAGAGAACAGAGAAGCGGAGTGGTATGTTCTCTGGATTATATCTCTGAATGCAGACGGAGCACTTTAATATATCTTAAAGGGGGGGTTGGTTGGTCTGTTGCCTGTCTGGCTCGGAGAGGCTTCTGTGAACCAACAGCTGGAAATCAAATATGGCCGGATGGAGAGCAGCAGCGCTGTGTTCCTGTGCACTGGTTGCAGTGTCATTGAAAATGGCACTGCCTTTGGCTCCCATTTATTGCTGTTCAGACATGTAGGTCAGTGTGGCTGCACGCTGTATATTATGGGCTGTTCTGACCCGCTAACAGAGTTGCTTGATTTTATTTTCTTGTTGCAGTTCCAGCAGCTGCATACAATGTAGAGGGATTGCACTATAAATAATGACTAATATAAAATGCACACACTTATACAAATGGAGCTGTAATGCATATTAAGTCATCTACAGGATTATATGTGCCTATATCATTTCATCTCTGCATGTATATCACACATGCTTAGGTTGCACACATAGGAGCATGAGTAAATGGAAACGATAGAGGGAGGACTGCAGATTGTCTTTCCACATGTCTGTTTATAGCCGCTTTGTTTGTATCAGAGTTGATTCTTAGAGTGAAGGGTCGGAGGTCACTGCTGCAGAGAGACATCCCCAATAAAGCCACAGCTGAAATAAGCACAGTGCCCCGTTCTATGTCTGTGTATCTTAACGGTAGAAATGAAAAAATACAATGTGTTTTCATGATATGTAGCCATGATAGGGGGCAATCTGGTTTTTGGAAAGATGCAAGTGTGCTTGGATTTTGTCTTGGGTTTCAATAAAAACAGAGATATTAAATTTAGGGTTGTTTTTTTTTTTAAGTATTATTATTCTTTCTTTTGATCAATTCTGCAGGGAAGACTTTATCGTTTTGGAACAGTAACGGGAAAAGAACATTGGCATGTTCAATTAGATCAGCAAATTGGAGTATTTAGGTGCTTATGCTGAATATTAAAAGTACTTACTGGAATTTTTTTGTGGGGGTGGGAGGGGGGTGTTCACAATAATTTGTAAACTCTATTCAGAATATGTTAACTCAAAAACTGATTTTGATCTAAAATAAAATATCAATATTTAGTAAGGTCTCCTTGCAATGTGTTTTTTTTTTTTTTGTCCCTTCGACTCTTTTTAATGACTTCTATTGACTTGGGGGGGACATTAGCTATCTCTAGATCCTTTTAGAAAGGATCTACAAATATATATATCTAAAAAAAAAAATATATATATATATAT